GATGTTTTACATAAGGATTTAAAAGGAGAACAAAGACACAATAGAAAGTGTCTTTCTATAAATTTTATTCATTCAGAAAAATCACAAAAACATTAAAAAAAAAAAAAAAAAAATCCCCCAAATAAAACAACTTTAAACAGGAAATAAACAATCCTCCAGAGCAAAGTTGACAGGATTTTGAATTTATTCCAACCCTAACCTTTTCCTCAACTCATGAACAAACCCCAAGATTTTCTTTTCATCAACAAGTGATTCTGAAACACTCTTTTTCTGCGCACATCTCTTCGCCCATGCCACCAATTTGGGGCACTCTGCCTCCATGCTGATATTCGCCATCGTCTCATATGCATAAAACCAGGCATAGTAAGGAATCAAAGACACATCAACATACCCAAAGTTCTCTCCCCCAAAATATGGCTAGACACCAAGTTGCCCCTCCAAAGTTTTGAAGATTTCAAAGAAGTCCTTCTTTGCTGCCTCCTGCTCCTCACCTGTGGTCGTCCATAGCTTCCTCCCAGCATCATACACCTGTATTCACGGTAGTAGACAGAAATTAATATAAATGGGTAAATTTAAACCATAATAATTCTTAAATTTTCTGTAAACAAATATTTAAACTATTAAATTTAGTGAAAAGATTTTTTTGGTATTATTCTAATTTCTATTAACAATTAATTGTCGTCAATTTTAGTCCACTTACTGGTTTCATCAAACATCAATAATTACTTGTTGAAAATTTTAAACTTATATATTAAAAAGTAAAAAAAAATATTTGAGTTTCATTATATTGTAGCTTATATAACTCTTTGATATAGTCAACAAAGAAAAGAAAATAAAAATTCAAGAGAAATAGTAAAAAAAAAAAAAAAAACAAAAAAAAAAAAAAAAAAAAAAAATTCTTTCTGGGTATTTGTTGAATTTGTTTTGTAAATAATATTATATTTTACAAGACGGGTTAATTTGATGATTAATTTTTTTTTCCCAAAATCTCCAGTGGGGGCAGTTAGTCCCTTCTTGCCTCTGTCCCTGCACAATGAACTTTAAAAATGGTTACCTTTTTGTCAATATAATCGCCCAGAACCTGCTTGAGCTCTCTCATACGGATCAGACGGAAGCAAAGGAGCTTTATCGTTCCAAACTTCATCGATGTACTGAACGATGATGGAAGATTCAGAGATGGGTTTGCCATTGTGGATGAGAACTGGGATCTTTTTATGAACTGGGTTCACCTGAAGAAGTAAGGGCTCTTCCCCTTCAACAAGTCCTCTTCTCTGTACTCATACTGACGCCTTTCTCCGCTAATGCAATTCTCACCCTTATGCCAAACATACTCGGCCAGAAATCAATAGAATCACCTCCTGCGCCATTTGGAGAAATTCTTAAGTTGAAGATGATTAGAGATTGAAGAAATGAAAAACTTTCTTATGTATTTATAGACGGTGTGTGTAATTGGCCGGCCAATAAGTCAACATAAGACAATTTTTTGATAAAAAATTCTAATTACTTATTCATGAATCTTGAAATTCTAAAAGTTTTGATTAAGAATCATTTGTATATATAACTTAATATAAGCATTCATGAAATATTTATTGAATTCACTTGAAACTTGTGATTTTAAGTAATTTATATTAAAAGAGTTTTTTAAAGGAGTAGATAGTGGGTCAATTTACAAAAACGTTTGATTATATAGATTGTGATTTGTTTTTATTTGGTTTAGTGTTTATCAGATTTCTTTAAAAGGTTTTGTCGACATAACTTGAATAAATTATTTCTATCCACTAGGTATCTCCGTCAATGGTGAAATAAATTATTAAATAAAATACATTATCTTCTCCATAATTTTCAAATACCTTTTGCAGTTTGAAAGTTGAAATTATTTTGCATTAATATGACGAAAACGTGAATCCTTACGATTAAATATTGATAACATACACTCTAATTTTAGCCGTTGTTTGTTACATTATTCTAGATTACTATTATGTTATCCTATTTGAATTAAAGAATAGGATATGTGTTTGAGTACTTTCAAAATATTTTCAACTCTATCAACTAAAACCATTTACCTTTCACTCCTTCAAATCTGAAAATAATCCACCCAAGACCACTACTGCCTACCCTCAACCATCATCGGCCATCGTTAACCGACGTAGCTGGAAGATGCATGACCAGTCAAGTGCGCCGATCTAGCATTTTCGACCAAATCTATTGCCAGAGTTCTAACCATTGATGTTGGCCGTAGATTTGGCTAGAAACGGCCATATCGGCATACGACCGGCCAAATCTAACCGTTGTGTGCCATCCTGACGACTGACGTTGCCGTTTAGTAGTGGTGGTTAGTTGTCCTCTGGGGTTGTTGGGGCTTTATTTAATTTTAAATTTTATTATGGGGGTGTTCAGCTAAATTAACAAATGTAGAAGGTTAACAAATTAACAAAAAATCTAAAATATTTTCAAAAAATATACCAAACTATTTAGCATTTTATCAACTTTGAATACACTTTTCAGATATTTTAACAAATACATTTTCAGAATCGATTCAATCAATTTAATCCAACTCAATTAACTTAAAGCACTTTTACAGAAAACATTTATCTATCAAATAGACTCTAATATTTGGATTTTGGTTCAACAACTGGTCGAACTAGTCATTTGGCAACATTGCACTCTCATATATAGTACCATATAGGAAAAAAAAATATACATAATTTTTTCCAATAAGTTATTGTAAAAAAAAAAAAAAAAAAAAACTAAATTTTTCAAGAGATATCACAACTTTGCTTAAGTATGAACAGGGGCGGACCCGGCCCTTTGAGGGTAGGCCCTTTGAGAAGTTTTTTTAAAAGGTAAAAAAAAAAGAAAAAAAGTTAGGTTTTGCCTTTTATATTCAAGTTTTCTTTCCAATTCTCAACTTCCCTTCCTTTTTACATGCATATCTGGATTGGAGTGATTGTAATTATATATTTTTGTAAACCTTGTGTATTTTACTTTTATTAGAGTTGTGATTGAATTCTAAATTTATGTAGAATATTTTTGGTGAATTTGTGGTTATTGTAAATGATAATCCATTTTTCCCTGTGATTTTGTATTGAATTTTGATAGGTTTAGGATACTTCTCATACAAATTGGGTCATAATTGCTACCTAATTCTTTAATTTATCTTTGTAGGCCTAAACGATGATTTTGAGTATAGATTACAGTTTTGAGCGTAAATACGTAACTTGAGCTTGGAAACTCAGAATGACCTGATTTTAAAAGTTTTGGAGAAGCTAAGAAGCAGAGCTACACTTTCATGTTTTGGGTTTTTCCTAATTCTGACTGGACAAGGGTGAAAAAATTGGCTTGAAGTCGTGAACAGTATGTTGGAAACGAAGGAAAACGTTTTGGATGTGGTTCAGTATTTCTTCCATAACTGCTGATAGACTCGGATTGTTCTGATTCTTGAACGAGTTGAAACATAATTTAAAGGGTTTACATTCATATTTTAACACTTTTCCATATTAAGACTCTTTCATGCTCAAATTTGGCTGGAAAGATTCTCTCCGCGACAGGAAAAAAGCTTCGCTGCGGCGAAACTGCGTCAGATGTGAAAAATAAAACGACGCATTTTGATGCTGGGCTTGGTCTCCTAAGTGAAAGAGGTATAAATTAGCACGAAAACGAAGAAAAAGGGCCTTGGTTCGTCATTGGAAGGCAGTTTTTGGAAGGAGAAGATTATGAAGATGGGCTTCAAATTAGAGAGATTCTCATCTTTTGTTTGTTTTTCAATGATGAATCTTGATTCAGTGTGTTTTGTTATTTTATTTTGTTTTGAGTATGAACTGAGTTGTTTAGCTGAGGTTTGATGTAACCTTGATACAATGATTCAAATTATGAATTGATTTACTTTGAGTTTTAATTTCATGATGAGTGTTTATCCTTTGTTAATACTTGGATGTCTGATCACCATTCAAATGTTGTGTGTTCACAATGAGATTGAGAAATGATTTTGTGATTGTGCCTCTTGGGATAAATCCGTAGATTAAGCAAACACTAGAGATAGGTTTAGCGTTTATGAGAGATAGGTTTAGGATTTATGAAATCTAGATAGAATTCCATAAAGCTTTAAAGACTTTGAGTATTAATCTTATTAAGCTTAAAAGACTTTAAACTATTAATCTTTATTTTGTTATGTGCAGAAGCTAATAGGGATAAGTAGGAAAATATAGCTTGAGAATGTAGTTTTACAACTTAGGGAATTCGATTTTCAACAAAGAATTAGAACTTGGATAATAGATTCTTGATTGGGTTAACATATCTACGTGAATCAACACCCTAGCATTTTTTTTAGCATTTTGTTTAATTAGTTAAGTTGGGTTTCGCTTTAATTTATTATCATTCTTTATATTTTCTAAATGTATTTAGTTAGTAATTTTCTATCAATCCAATTTATTGTTGCTTCAATTAGGACTTAAACTAGAGAAATCGGTATTTAGTAACACTATCCTCGTGGGAACGATACTCTACTTATCATTTATTACTTTTTGCGACTAGTGTTTGCTATATTGCATGTTTGTCAAAAATATGCATCAGTAAACTCTTTGATTATATTGGATTTAAGTGAGCGTTAGATTATATTCCGTGGTTTTTTTACTCTTCACATTGAAGAGGTTTTTCCACGTAACAATTTTCTTGTGTTTCCTTGTGAATTGGATGTTATTTTCTTATGTTTTCAATAGTTGATTGGCAAACAGTGGCAGAGCGAGGGCCCCCCTGACAAAAATCCTGGGTCCGCCACTGAGTATGAAGGAAGATGGATGTGTTTACATCGGGATATAAAGGCAGATAAAAGACACGAAAGAAATGTCTTTTTTATAAATTTAATTCATTTAGAAAAATCACAAAAACACATTTAAAAAAAAAAAAAAAAACCAAATAAAACACTTTTTAAACATGAAATAAACAATCCTCCAAAGCAAAGTTGACAGGATTTTGCATTTCTTCCAACCGTAACCTTATTTTCCTCACTTCAGAACAAACCCTGAGATTTTCTTTTCATCAACAAGCGATTCTGAAACACTCTTTTTCTGCGCACATCTTTTCGCCCATGCCACCAATTTGGGGCACTCTCCCTCCATGCTGATATTCGCCATCGTCTCATATGCATGAAACCAGCAATAGTAAGGAATCAAATACACATCAACATACCCCAAGTTCTCTTCCCCAAAATATGGCTCGCCACCAAGTTGCCCCTCCAAGGTTTTAAAGATTTCAAAGAAGTCCTTCTTTGCTGCCTCCTGCTCCTCACCTGTGGTGGTCCATAGCTTCCTCCCAGCATCATACACCTGCATTCATGGTCGTAGCCAGAAATTAAAATAAATGGGTAAATTTAAACCATAATAAATCTTAAATTTTTTAATAAACAAATATTTAAACCATTAAATTTGGTGAAAAGATTTTTATCGTATTATTCTAATTTATATTGACAATTAATTATCATCAATTTTAGTCCACTAACTAGTTCCATCAAACATCAATAATTACTTGCTGGAATTTTTAACTTATATATTAAAAAGTTAAAGAAAAAAGTCAACAAAGAAAAGAAAAAGAAAACCATTTAAGAGAAATAGTAAAAAAAAAAAAAAAAACTTTTCTTTCTGGGTATTTTGCTAAAATTTGTTTTGTAAATATATATTATATTTTACAAGACGGGTTAGTTTGATAATAAATGTTTTTCCCCCAAAAATCCAATGGGGGCAGCTGCCACAGCAGTCCCTTCTTGTCTCCGTTCCTGCACAATGAACTTTAAAAATTGTGACCTTTTTGTCAATATAATCAGTCCAAACCCTTGCTTGAGCTCTCTCATACGGATTAGACGGAAGCAAAGGAGCTTTATCGTTCCATACTTCATTGATGTACTGAACGATGATGGAAGATTTAGAGATGGGTTTGCCATTGTGAATGAGAACTGGGATCTTTTTATGAGCTGGGTTCACCTGAAGAAGATAACGGCTCTTCCCCTTTGTTATGCCTAAAAAATCAGGGTTGACGTAAGCGCACGCCAGCACGAGCCAATCAAAGTTTAGGAAGGATTTGTGTCATCCAAACGCTACCACGTTGGGCAAGGATGGAAGAAGTAAGCATGTCGTCAGTACGGCAGGTGAAAGCCTGGCTTGTGAGTGGCTAGGAATTGACCACCTGCCCAAGCCCTACGCGATTTAAAAATATCTCATGTGCAGACAACCAATGGGAAGTAGGTTAAGAATTGTACCACACTTGCCCGACTGCAGAATCATGATTACTACCTTGAATCTCTCGACTACCTTGAATCCCTCGACTATAAATAGAGGACTCCTCTCTCATTTACGGGATTGACTCATTCTTTAGTTTCTTAAAAAGTAGACTCTCTCTCTTTGTATTTAAATTTTCTCTACACTGTAACTCAGCTCGCTATACGCTACCTGATTGTAATCATCCATTAATACATATATAGTGGACGTAGGATTCGCTTTTGAGCATCCGAACCACTTTAAAAATCGTCTCTTGTCTTTTCTCTCGTTGCACAATTCCATATCACATGTAATTTGTAAGTGCACTTAGCACTTTACACGTGCGAGTCATTGGTGTCGAAATCAAGTATCAACAGTTTGGCGCTAGAAGGAGGGCCTGATTTAGTATCCGCTCTTCATCAAGAATCTCTGACCGATCGGTCCCATCCAGCAGCAAATGGCTTGTGGTTTCAAAACTGAGTGAACCAACCTTAACAATGAGGAAATCTCCCGGGTACGAGATGACACTTCTCCCGAAGTGCCTCCAGTCCAGCAGAGTACCATGGCGAATATTCCTTCAAGCTCATAACTCAACCCAGCCATGATGGATTACCTGGAGAGGTTCAACAATACTCTCCAAATGGTTAGCCAAAGGTTGGACCGTTTGGATCGAGTCGTACCACCAGAGTTTGACGAGGCGGTGCCACTAGCAAAGACTCCTGCAGGTCGCACAAAAGCGCAAAAAATGGTGAAAACCTGTACCTCGCACACTGCAGTGCTTAAGAATAAGGGAAAGAAAGTGGTAAACAGTGGGCCAAAGGGCTCCGAGGGACTAGCAAACACCGGTCATGCAACAGGTGGAATACTTGTGGCATTGCGACTTGGCAACATTTCGCAGCACGAGTCGTCCCACGCCACGTCTCATGGGTACTCCCACAAAAGTGTAAGGCAGCTAGATTCCCAATATTGTCGAAATGATTACCTCGACCGTCATCATGCAAGAAACCCCCGTCATCTGTGGGTCGGTTTTGACCACCGTGGAGGTCAGGAAAACTCCCCTAGCCAATCAATGCCTTCACACGGCCCCATCCAACGTGTGTCAAGGTTCGCCGGAGATTCCAGCCGAGTTGAGGAAGAGTTCGATTTGTGGTCTTTCCTCAATTGCAACCATGACGGTCGAACCCACATTACAGAAAGTGATCCTCAGGCAGCTCTACTACCTCAGATTAAGGAATTACAACGAGTTTTGGATCAGCTTAAAGCTTAACAGAATGAGTGTGGGATGGTCACTGAGGCGTCTCCCTTCTCTCCAACAGTGTTAGTTGCTCCTCTCCCGTTGAGATTCAGAATGCCCGATATGCGGGCATTCGACGGGAATTCTAATCCTCAGGATTACCTTTACGAATTCAACGACCCCATGGAACTCCACCAAGTCTCCGACTTGGCCAAATGTCGCTTCTTGGCAGTAACTCTGACTACCTATGCCAAGCACTGGTTTAGATCATTTCTCGTAGGATCTATCAGCTCGTGGCAACAAATAAGCTCGTCATTCTTGAGGCACTTCCAGGTGAATAGGAAGTTTTCGATGTAGTTAAGCTATCTAAGCAACATACGGTAGGAGAGGAATGAGTCCCTCCAGTCTTACATAGACAGATTCCACAAGGAACTACACAAAGTGGCTCATACTATTGAAGAGTCCGTTCGGACTCTCATTATTGCGGGGGTTCGCCGGCAGACTGACTTGTGGAAAGAATTGCAATCAGATGACGATGTTTCCCTCACTCATTACTATGACCTCACTAAGAAGTATCTCTGAATCGAAAATTATGTGGTTGCTCTTAATCGCCATGACTCTGGTCCCTCAACCAGTGCTCCCAATCGAGGGGAGAATAGTAGAAGGGTTGATCACAGATGGGCTAATGACGATTAACAAAAAGGAAAGAAGCAATTATTCGAGCCCAAAAAATCTTATGCCCAAGTTCCTCATCGCGATCGCGACAAAAGCCAATACACTCCTTTGAATGCCTCAGTGTCGGTCATTCTAGATAAATCAGATAAGGCCAGGTTGCTCGAAGAGCCAGAGCCCATGAAGAATCCCCCTCAGCCAGGAACAGCAAAAAATATTGCCGCTACCATCGGGATAATGGCAATCACACCAATGAGTGTCGGGCTCTCAAGAAAGCAATTGAAGACCTTATCGAGCAAGGTCACTTCAAGGAGTATGTTGATGGTCCGACTCTCATTCGGTAAAAGGATCAAGAGGAACAAGGGAAGAAGCGTCGTGGTCGTAAGGGTCTCTACTGTGTAGGGATCATTTTTAGAAGACCACACCTCGCGGGGAATTCTTGAATGCTCGGGAAGCTCATCATGATCCCGTGAGTGTGATGAGCATGGCGCCGTGACCCACTAAGGTTTGTAGGGAGGAAGAGATTACCTTCTCAAAGAAAGACGCGGTGTGATTGCATTATCCCCATGAGGATGCACTTGTCATCGCACCTGAAATAGGTCGGTGCGAAGTCCACAGGATGTTGGTGGACAATGGAAGCGCTGTGAATATCCTGTTTCAGCGAGCTTTCGAAAAAATGCAATTAGACGAGGCAGACCTGAAGCCTGCCTCTATCCCTCTCTATGGTTTTACTGGGGATCATCTGATTCCTAAGGGAAAGATTGCACTTCCTGTCCCATTGGGTGAGACCAACGAAATGACCAAGATGATAGAGTTCTTGGTAGTAGACTGTCTGTCTGCCTTTAATGGCATTCTGGGATGACCTCACAGAGTTTTTGGTAGTAGACTGTCCGTCTGCCTTTAATGGCATTCTGGGATGACCTTTACTACGAAGTTTTAAGGTCGTCACCTCTATCTATCATTTGAAAATGAAGTTCTCCACTCCGACGGGGATTGGGAAAGTAAAAGGACCTGAACGCGAATCTCGCGACTATTACATAAGAGCAGTGCATATGGCGTGCAAAGGAAAAATAAGGCCAATAGGCATCCCCAAATAGGCTATGGCGATTAGCAGGATCGCATCCAGCCTGACCCAATAGAGGACAACATGGATCTACGCATCCAGGAGTGCCCTCATAGTGGGTCAGTTAAGGATCTATATGAGATATTCATCGATCAAAATGAGTCGACTTGAGTGTTGAGAATTTGGAGTAATCTCAATCCCCAGCTCGCTAAAAGCTTAACGAGCTTCCTTAGAGAGAATGTCGACGTCTTTGCATGGACTCATGCTGATATGATCAGGATCAGCCCAAATATAATATGTCATGCACTCAATGTTGACAGTGTAATGAAGCCAGTTTGCCAGAAAAGAAGAGCCATGGACCAAGAGCGCTATGCTGCCTTGAAGAGTAAGGTAGATAAGCTCATCTCAAACGGGTTTATTCGAGAAGCGCGTTACCCGAGTTAGGTTGCCAATCCAATCTTGGTAAAGAAGCCCAACAGAAAGTGTCAAACTTGCGTTGATGATAATCCGAGAATTATACTGTTCTTATTAGGCTTTTTGGCTAGATTGTAGATACTTCTTAGTTCATTTTTGCCTGAATTGCTACTTAATTCTTTACATTTTGTGTTTCAGGCCAAAATGGACATTTTGAGCAAATAATGAGCGAATTGAAGTTTCTGGACCCAGAAGTAAGCGGATCTCAGAAGTTGGGAGAGTTCTGAAGCAGAGTAAAGCACTATGAAGCTTGTTCCCATGGGAGAGCATCGAAGATCAAAGAAGCAAGCGGAGGGCAATTCTGTAATTGCAGAATTCTTCATGAAGGTTCGCCGCGGCAAAAACTGTTAAGCACGAGATTCCATTTTACCTCATCGCCGTGGCGAAACTCTTTCTTCGCCACGGCGAAGTCTGCGAATTTTAGTTTCTCCCAAATGCACAGTTTTATTTTAGGAAAGTTTTAGGTCTCTAGGCGAGGTATAAAAGAAAAACTTTACCATTTTTGTAGAGGTCGTCCAGTTTTCGTCTGTTCTCATTGAGTTTTGAATAGATTTCATATTTAGAGAGAAGATTTGAGCTTGAATTTGAGGGATTCTTCAACTAGGGGAGATCTCTACTCTTTTCTATGCAATTCAATATGTTGAACATTGTGTTTATTGTTTTTCTTGTTGTGTATTTTGATTTAGTTATGAACTAACCCATTTTGGGTTAGGGTTTTGATTAAGTTCGGATTTCTATGGGTTAATGAATTGATTATTGCTATTTCCATATTCTATTGCATAGATTGTGTGGTTATTCTGTTTTTAATGGAATTTATTTGATGAATATGATGAGATTGAGAAATGAATCATGTTAAGCTTCTTGGGTAATCATCATTGTAGTATTGAATGCTAGAGATAGATTTGAGAATCAATGAAATAAATCTAGGATTCCATTAGCTTAATGAACTTGGATCTATTATTTTTCAAGTTGTTAGGTGCGGAAGTTTAATAAGGAAAAGTAGGCATTCATAGCCTGAAAAGGTATGTTTAACAACTTAGAGAATGAATTCGATTTACAAATTGTGCATATGAGTGTGGAATTAACATAGTCCGTAGAATTCATCCATAGAGTCCGAATGAAGTCAAAACCCTAACCTTTTGTTAAACTAATATTACTCTTGCGTTTTAATTCTTGCCTTTATTAATTAGTTTTTAATACTTAGTAAGTTTTGTTTTAGTTTTAGTTTTAATCTCTCCCATTAATCCAAACAAATTCGGTTCCTCCAACTTGAAAAACAATTAGGAAAATTAGTGATTAGCAACCAAT